TCGACTGAGGGACCTTACATATAATTGTATGTGTGGGGTACAGAGAGGAGTCATTCAAAAATCATCTAAAACACTATTATTGCACACAGAGTGAGCATGCAACTTATTATGCGACTTAGTAAGCACAGTTTTACTCCTGAACGTATTTAGGCTTGCCATAACAAAGGGGTTGAATACTTATTGACACATTTCAGCTTTTCATTTTTAATTAATTTGTAAACATTTCTAAAAACATAATTCCACTTTGACATTATGGAATATTGTATGTTGGTCAGTGACACAAAATATAAATTTAATCAATTTTAAATTCAGGCCGTAACACAACAAAATGTGGAAAAAGTCAAGGGGTGTGAATACTTTCTAAAGGCACTGTAAATAGCGTATTGATATCCCGTGAAACTCAAGCCTAAATATTTTTTTAAACCAAAGTAGCCTCAAGTTTCCCCCTGATTTCCATAAGCCTATATTGCAATATAAATTGGGAAATGCTGTGAAAATGTGGTAATGGATGTTTTTCTTCTTCACAGTTGTCCAATACTTAAACTGAGAACATTTCCCCGAGTAATTGAGTTGCTAAAACAAATAACTAATACAAACAAATAAGCATGAAATCCCTTGAGAAATTTCACAGCACTTTTAAGTCGATGTACAAAAACATTATCCGGATGCTGCAGATGTAAAGTGGCACCCAAATCAGAATGAAACGGTAAGTGGCGTAAAATAGGAGAAATAAAAAAAAGCCTCGAGCAGGCTTTTTGGTTTGTAATCTGTTAATAAACAGCTATTACACACTTTATGTGCTATAATCATAATAACAAAGGCTTGGGGTTTCTGATAAAGCCGAACTATTTAATATACTTACCGTAATAGAATGGACTAGCCTATATGGCGAGTTTCTCAAATAAACATGAATTAAGCTATGTTTTATATCATTATACATGGGGGCTTTAACAAATGAACAAGTATTTTAAAATTCACTTCCACGGCTTCTCTTATTGTGGATCCAAGAGATGTATTGTAGGTCGTTCAGGTGATTATATATTCAGGCCCATGCAACTGAATCTTTCATGTCCCATCTAGCAATTTAACGCCTTAATGTAGACGATGTTGTGTGCTGCAATTCTGCGGACGAGAAAGCAATGACCCCCATCTCAATAACTCAGCGTCTCCGCGCTTGACTGATGCGCTTTTCTCAGGAGATATAGGCACACAGGCTGGGAACTTTGTTCAGTATGGAAGGCTTACAACTCGAATTTAGGCTATCCATGAAGCTAAACCCTATTAAATTCTCCACTAAAGAAAACCCCTATCAAAATTGCTCTGCTTGGCATTAAAGAATGTATTGAAAGGCAACTAATACCTTGTAAAAGTTTGTTCAGTTGAGAACGCCATCTCCTGACTCCGGAGAGAAGTACAGGCTTGGATACCGTTGGCGGCCTCTGGTCCAATCTATATTTAACCCAATTTACCCTGGTCAGTCGGACCTGCTAGTGATACCACACAACCCTTGTTTATCCACAAACGTTTCCTCCCTTTCAGAAAGAGCTCTGGTCGCTATCAGAATCCTCGATCAGACCCGGAGAGGCCCAGGCAATCACTTTCCCAGATTACTTGTATTTAATACACAATGCATCATAAAACAAATCCCTCATCCTGACAGGAAGAAAATAGAACAGCTCATAGCTTGAGCTTTCCCAATTTATGGCTAAATTAAAAAGGCTTCAAACAATGGACAAGTCGAGGAAAGGCAGGAAATCAATGAGCTGCGGACCGGGGGCTCTTTCGGGTTCTCAAGCAGAGCGGACTATGGGAATCTCTGGCGAGGTCCACCATATTTACACATGATTTTTCCTGTCCTTCCTGCACATTTGCTCTGCAATTTCATCAAACAATGGGAATCATCTGGGATAGAAGGTCAATGTCACAGATAGCGGCCACTGAGACATATTAATCATAATCTATTCGCATCCACCGACCCCCCCCCCCCCCCCCCCCCCCCCCCCTCCCAGAACATTATAAACTCCTGTTCATGCTCGCCATGCATAACCAAGTAGGCTATATCCTACTTTGTATGATTCTAAGAGGTCGATTTTATTTATCGATTTGATTATCCAAAATAGTTTAGTTGGACATAAAAGTTAAGAAAAGATAGTGAAAATGGGCAATACAATTAGGCCATCATTAGCATAAAAAAAAGTTTTAACATACAAACAAACAACAACAAAATCAGAAAAAAGTCACATTTTGTAAATGTTGGCCTGCTGTATATGCAAGCTGTTACCATGAATTACAGATTAAGTTTAGAATAATAATATTTTAAAAGCTATAAATTGCATCGGCATGTTTAGAAATGTGTGTAACAACATCATGCAGGATGATGGCATGATAGTCACCTGCGTCTATGCCCCTCAGAGCGGGGAGGGCGAGAGAGATCAATGGGGCGCATGCCTTGTCTGTCTCGTAAAGCAGGTGCTCCAAGCAAGGAAAGCGTCATTTAGGCCTAACAATAAAAGTTATTGTTTTCACTTGGACTATTAGTGAGGCTTTATTTTATTAAAACAATACTTTTTACATTCCATTAAGTATTCTATGAATAACACAATTATTTTTTAAATGTACAATATTCTTAGAAGAGAGTCACTGTCACCATTCAGGAGCCTAAGCTAATAGCATTTTGTGCTTTAACTGGGCTAGGAGTGAGCCGCGAACCCACCCCTCATTGCTCAGGGACAAACGAGTGAAATGCGGAAGATTGCGTAATTATTCGGTGGTTTCATCAAAGGCAAATTGGGCTGGTGTGTGTATGTAGTCAATCCCATAGAAGCCCATCCCGACCTCTCTCTGACCTCGCCTCTCCACCCGTCTCCTGTCACTTTAAAATGTACTGCGGGAGCGTCGCTCAACTTCCGACTGCAGACAGGCAAGATAGCCCGTTTTGCAAGATCCTCTTTAAGAGACAGTCCGTGAAACAGAAACACACACATCACACAGTACGGGACGCGCAAGTAGGTGGGCGATCTTTCCATCTCACTATCACGCGCCAGGGGGAAGAGAGAAAGGAAAAGTTGAATCGTCGCTCGCTGGCTCCGCCGCCCTGACACCTGGGAACAGTGGAGGTTCAGAAAGAGAGGAGCGGACGGGACGGGCTCGCGCTGACGGGCTCAATTTGGACCAAGTTAATGTGCCTAGGGATTATGCTGTTGTCTACATGACAATAAGTGTGTGAGAGAGAGAGGAGCAAACGTCTTGTGGGTCGGAGAAAGAGAAAATACACTGTAAAATCCCATGGTGTTTTCAAGAACACGGGACATTACACACATGGAGCAAAACTAAACGACCGATACGTTTTCCAAATTTTGTGGTTATTTCCAAAACAAGATATTGCAGTTTTAATCAAAAGTTTTTTTTTCCCTTTATTTCTGCACACCTCGTATTTGCAGATATTTTATTGTTGCACCAAGTGTGCAAAGGATTTACCACGGTAAGCAGCGATCTATTTGATTACCTTTTTATTACCAAACGAACATTCTGACGTGTCCTTTCTCAATGATACAATTATGGTTATAATTAATCGTATGAGCTCTCAATATAAATTAATTGTCAAAACTATTGACAAGTATTTTTACAGGGTGAGTCAATACGTTTTCATCAGACACGATTAACGTATCCCACGTAAATATTTTAGGCTACACAAACATCGATTGGTGTCCATAACCGATATTCAATTATGGATCACAGCAATATGTCTTGCTTCTTCATCAGGTAACTCTTATCTCTTACACTTTCCTGCCATTTATTTTTTTCCGAATAAAGTTTACTATGTCAGTAACAGGCTATATCCTATATTAAAAATTTTTAAATCGTGTTTATAGGCAAACATGTCATAGGAAAATTTTTGGTTAGTTTTTATTGATATATTTTTTATTTGTGTTTAAATTATATGCAATAAGTAAGATGTCATTTTGCGTTGTCTTGCAAAATTAAATTTATAATGCAAAGTGAATTTAGCAAATAAATAAAGATTTTGTCTATTATTGACACGTGTGCTTATCACATTTTCAAGGTAGGCCAGAAAAAAAACGAGCTTTATGCTATTTTGTCAGATGTTTTTCTTTTGTTATTTTGGCTCTGTATGTTATACATTGTTTAGACTGCAACAAACTCCTGTCCTGGGTGAAATACACAGTGGCCTTTTCACACGATTTCTATCTCTCCTTAATTCGTTTATTTATTTATTTTTCGGAATAATTATCAGGCCTATCATTTATCTATTCATATCATCTATCTAAGTATAATACGTTTTATTGTATGTATAGGCCTGCCTTGGTCATATGGTAATATGGTTAATTTACTGAATATGATAGGGTAGTTAATTAGGCCTACATAGCTGATAATAAAGGATAAGTTAGGGAATTATTTTATGAAACTGGTTGTTTCTTTTGAGTGAATGGTGTGCATTAAAGGTTATTTGCATGTCGCTGCCCGCTGGTCTTAACGTGCTTTGGCCCTTTCACTCCTAAAGATTAGGCGCTATTGTGCAATATCTCTTCATCATCAACCCTCTGAGAGACTTTTCAATCAACTTCAGGTTTATAATAATATTACGTTTTATTTTAAAAGAAAACAAGCTGATATCAGCAATTGTGGAATAGAGTATATGTTTCTACAAATGTTTGATAGGAATATAAATGTGTAATAATAATTTCATTACACTGTTTTTTTGTTTCAACAAAATACCACACTGATATTTTTTTTATTCAGCACAATTCAGTATTTCCTTTTTAGGTCACGTGATAATAAGCATTGTTATGAAACGTGTTGCACACAGTGAAATGGCTCTAAAATGTTCGTTTTTATTACCATATTCATGGGATAATTGCTCATGTTCAGCAATAAAGAAATACATTTGATTTGATGTCTTAAAAACATTGTTGATGTCTTAAAAACAAGTAATTGAAAGAACTTTTAGTTGTGCTCATTCAGCACAGTGATATTCTGTAATGTGTTTCACTGCTGTCCTAGAGAGTGTGTATGTTCGTGTGTATGAGTTTGTGTGTGTGAGAGAGAGCAGGACCCAGTTCAAGGTGTGTGTATGTGTGTGTGTGTGTGTGTGTGTGTGTGTGTGTGTGTGTGCGTGTGTGTGCCTGCCCTTCGTGTGTAATTCTGCAGCCTCACAACAGTGTGGTCTTGTTTCTTGGTGGGAGGTATGTGGTTAGTCCATGTGGACACAGTAACCTGTGCAGAATCAGATAGGGATCAAAATGTTAACCCCCTCCTCCCCCTCTCTCTCTACCTCTCCAGATCTTGGACGGGTCGGGCCATGTAAAGTTCTGTGTGGATGCCAGCGAGCCTGATATCGGGAGCTGGCTGAAGTGCATCCAGTTTGCCCCCACGGCCCACCAGCACAACCTGACTCCGTGCCAGATAGATGATCAGGTATGTGGAGAGGAGACCGCCTTCCTGCCTACCACAGGGCCTCAGTGAACCCCCATGTCCTGCCTGCCTGGCTGCCTGTTGTTGTGTTAGAAGGTGTTATTGTGATCTAGTTCAGATAGCCCCTGTGCGGCCCACCCTGTGTTCAGTATCAGCCCCCCTCTCCTCACACACACACACACACACACACACACACACACACACACACACACACACACACACACACACACACACACACACACACACACAAACACACACACACCGCCTCAGAGGGCCTATCTCTATGTTTTGTTTCTGTGTAATTGTGTCTTGGCTTCGGCATGTCGAGGACCACAGGGCCAGATCACACACACCACACACACGGCTGCCGTGCTGATAGTCACAGACACTTCACACATGCTCGCACTGTAAACTTCCAGATATGTGTGCAATGCCCCATGGCGTTTTCTCTCCTCACCTGGGAGACAGGACATGGGGGCCTACCTCCTACCTGACACATAGGAGCATTTTCACTTCACTCATTCACTGGTTAAATAGTATTTTATGGACTCAGACTACACACACACACACACACACACACACACACACACACACACACACACACACACACACACACACACACACCCTATAGTAAGGGAGACCTTATTTGACATGGACAGTGCATTCCATGTCTTGATGGAAGATAAATTGATAGAAAAGTTTGCATCACCTTTCATTACTTCTTCATAAATAGTTTATAAATACTTGTATATGTTGCAAATAACAGAAAATGAATCAGTTTCAAATTTAATATTGATGACTGGATGTAATTTGTAACTAGAAACATTGTCATCATGAATATACCACTCATGGACATTATTATAACATCACTATATCCTATACAAATGGTTATTTAATGTGTATTTTGAGAGGAAGACAACTTCAGATTCTTATTTGAAACTGTAATATAATGAATCCCAATTTGTGCGTCCCAATTGTCACCCTATTCCCTATAGTGCACTATGTATGCCCCCTATATAATGCATTACTTTTGTCCAGAGCCCTGGACAAAAGTAGTGCACTATATAGGGAATAGGGTGCCATTTGAGACATAACCAATGTGATGCTGTGTTTTATGTAGCCTTCTGATTGGCCCTCTCTCTGAGGTGTGACTGACTGTCATCACTGTGGTTCTGCTCGGGTGGCTGTCTAAGCCTGGCCTGGGTCATGGACAAGGCTGTGATGAGATTATTGTTAGGTACCACACACTGTCACAACACTGTCTTCACGTCTTCCGGACACCCCTCATGTTTTTCATAACACACAGTAATGGCTCCCGAAGCCTGTCTAGGCGTAAATTACATGTGTAAGGATGGGTGTCTGGAAGGTCTGTCAGTTATGTCTGTTTCTATCAGAGTATGAATGTGTGTGTGTGTCTGTGTGTACGTCTGTGCATGCATACATGTGGCTATGTGTGTGCCTCTTTATGCGTGCGCTGTGTAGGATCTGGCCCTTTTTCAGGACTATGTGAATGTTCATTGCGGTTCTGATGGATCCCAGTGCTCCTCATCCTAAAGCTGGATGTGAGAAATGTAGTCCCTTACCTCCTTCCAACAGGTTTTACAGCTGCTGAGAAGTAATGACTGTGAAGCCAGCCTGAAACCACATATTATACCCTCTTACACAATCAATCCCACATTGTGGACTAACCTGGCTTCAATCCTCTTATTTCTGACCTAGTCCTGTTTATAATAAAACTTTATGTCCAATCTCAAGAGGGTGAGGAGAGGAGAGGAAGAGGGGAGTGGAGGAAGGGAGGAGAGAGAAGAAAGAGAGATAGAGGAACTATTAGGGGTTCCTACTCGTGTGTGTGTGTGTGTGTGTGCGTTCCTGTGTGTGTGTGTGTGTGTGTGTGTGTGTGTGTGTGTGTGTGTGTGTGTGTGTGTTCGGCATAGAGAATAGCAAGGCTTGCATAGTGCTGCAGCAGTATGTTGTGTGTGATCATGTCTTAGCTGTAGGGTTTAAGAGGTGGTCAAAGTTAGCTAATTATGAACATGAATAACATGTTATTTAAAACGACCAATATTACCATTAACAATAACTATTCATTAACGCTCTGCAATGCAGTCGGTGACTATTGGGTCTTATACAATCAATGATCTGAGATCAATGATCTGGGAGTAAAAACAGTTTTTTAGCACAGTAGTGGTGACTAAAACTGCTCTCTGGTCAGATTCACCTGTGTTCATCACTGAGCATTATACTTCAGACATGAAGTATATTTAGTATGGAGATGTCTTAACCATATCCCACACAGACAGTAGCCTACATGGGACAGGCTGAAGGGTAAATGGATTAGCGGTTTAATTCTCATGATCTGACAAGTGACTAAAGACTCTTTCATAAGACTGTGGATGGATATGAGGGCTAATCTCATTAGCCATATTGATTCTCCCACGCCGCACAAAGAGACATGAAGTGGATGAATTGACTGTTTTAATGTGTGAAATGTTCTGTGATCATAGAAATAGACTGGAGAGCTGAGTGTCTCAGTGTGGGAGTGCTGATCTAGGATCACTTTTGTCTTTTGGATCATAATGAATATGATTGTATGGACAGGGAGGAACTGATCCTAGATCAGGGCCCGTATTCACTAAGTGTTTCAGAGTAGGAGTGCTGATCTTGATTCAGTTATCTATTTTGGATCATAATGAATACAATTACACTACATGACCAGAAGTATGTGGACACCTGCTCGTCGAACATCTCATTCCAAAGTCATGGGCATTAATATGGAGTTGGTCCCCCTTTGCTGCTATAACAGCCTCCACTCTTCTGGGAAGGCTTTCCACTAGATGTTGGAACATTGCTGCGATGACTTGCTTCCATTCAGCCACAAGAGCATTAGTGAGGTTGGGCACTGATGTTGGGCGATTAGGCCTGGCTCGCAGTCGGCGTTCCAATTCATCCCAAAGGTGTTCGATGGGGTTGAGGTCTGGGCTCTGTGCAGGCCAATCAAGTTCTTCCACACCAATCTCAACAAATCATTTCTGTACGGACCTCGCTTTGTGCACAGGGGCATTGTCATGTTGAAACAGGAAAGGGCCTTCCCCAAACTGTTGCCACAAAGTTGGAAGCACAGAATCGTCTAGAATGTCATTGTATGCTGTAGCGTTAAGATTTATCTTCACTGGAACTAAGGGGCCTAGCCCAAACCATGAAAACAGCCCCAGAATATTATTCCTCCTCCACCAAACTTTACATTTAGCACTATGCATTCGGGCAGGTAGCGTTCTCCTGGCATCCGCCATACCGAGATTCGTCCGTCGGACTGCCAGATGGTGAAGCGTGATTCATCACTCCAGAGAACGCATTTCCACTGCTCCAGAGTCCAATGGCGGCGAGCTTTACACCACTCCAGCCGACACTTGGCATTGCGCATGGTGATCTTAGGCTTGTGTGTGGCTGCTCGGCCATGGAAACCGATTTCATTAAGTTTCCGACGAACAGTTCATGTGCTGACGTTGCTTCCAGAGGCAGTTTGGAACTCGGTAGTGAGTGTTGCAACCGAGGACAGACGTTCTTTGAGCCACTTCGTGGCTGAGCTGTTGTTGCTCCTAGACGTTTCCACTTCACAATAACACCACTTACAGTTGACTGGGGCAGCTCTAGCAGGGCAGAAATTTGACGAACTGACTTGTTGGAAAGGTGGCATCCTATGACGGTGCCATGTTGAAAGTCACTGAGCTCTTCAGTAAGGCCATTCTGCTGCCAATGTTTGTCTATGGAGATTGCATGGCGGTGTGCTCGATTTTATACACCTGTCAGCAATGGGTGTGGCTGAAATAGCCGAATCCACTAATTTGAAGGGCTGTCCACATACTTCTGTATATATAGTCTATAAAGAGAGGGAGGACCTGATCCTAGATCAGCACTCTGGCTGGTGGCTGGCATACCTGCTAGATGACCTCTCTGAGAGGAAGGATGTTGGAGGAACAAAGAGGGTGTGTCAGTGTACCGAGGAAAATCGGATTCTTTGTTTGCACTGGTGACTAATGATGTCAAGGTAACCAACTTCTCCAAGATAATAGCCTCTGAAATGTCTGAGGTTATGACCTCTATAAGAAACAGAGGAGAGAGAGAGAGAAGAAGAGCGAGAGAGGGAGAGTGCATGTTTGTGCATGTGTCTGCTCATGTGTTTGTCTGTGTGTGTGTGTGTGTGTGTGTGTGTGTGTGTGTGTGTGTTTGTGTGTATGTGTATTTGTCTACACTACCGGTCAAAAGTTTTAGAACACCTGCTCATTCAAGGGTTTTTCTTAATTTTTACTATTTTCTACATTGTAGAATAATAGTGAAGACATCAAAACTAGGAAATAACACATATGGAATCATGTAGTAACCAAAAAAGTGTTAAACAAATCAAAATATATTTGAGATTTGAGATAGCCACCCCTTGCCTTGATGACAGCTTTGCACACTCTTGTCATTCTCTCAACCAGCTTCATGAGGTAGTCACCTGGAATGCATTTCAATTAACAGGTGAGCCTTCTTAAAAGTTTATTTGTGGAATTTCTTTCCTTCTTAATGCGTTTGAGCCAATCAGTTGTGTTGTGACAAGGTAGGTAGGGTATACAGAAGATAGCCTTATTTGGTAAAAGACAGAGTCCATATTATGGCAAGAACAGCTCAAATAAGCAAAGAGAAACGACAGTCCATCATTACTTTAAGACATGAAGGTCAGTCAATACGGAAAATCTCAAGAACTTTGAAAGTTTCTTCAAGTGCAGTCGCAAAAACCATCAAGCGTTATGATGAAACTGGCTCTCATGGGGACCGCCACAGTAATGGAAGACCTAGAGTTACCTCTGCTGCAGAGGATAAGTTCATTAGAGTTACCAGCCTCAGAAATTGCATCCCAAATAAATGCTTCACAGAGTTCAAGTAACAGACACATCTCAACATCAACTGTTCAGAGGAGACTGTGTGAATCAGGCCTTCATGGTCGAACTTCTGCAAAGAAACCACTGCTAAAGGACACCAATAACAAGAAGAGACCTGCTTGGGCCAAGAAACACGAGCAATGGACATTAGACCAGTAGAAATCTGTTCTTTGGTCTGGAGTCCAAATTTGAGATTTTTGGTTCCAACCGCCGTGTCTTTGTGAGACGCGGTGTGGGTGAACGGATGATCTCCGCATGTGTATTTCCCACTGTAAAGCATGGAAGAGGAGGTGTTACGGTGTGGGGGTGCTTTGCTGGTGACACTGTCTGTGATTTATTTAGAATTCAAGGCACACTTAACCAGCATGGCTACCACAGCATTCTGCAGCGATACGCCATCCCATCTGGTTTGGGCTTAGTGGGACTATCATTTGTTTTTCAACTGGACAATGACCCTACACACCTCCAGGCTGTGTAAGGGCTATTTTACCAAGAATGAGAGTGGTGGAGTGCTGCATCAGGTGACCTGGCCTCCACAATCCCCCGACCTCAACCAAATTGAGATGGTTTGGGATTAGTCGGACTGCAGAGTGAAGGAAAAGCAGCCAACAAGTGCTCAGCATATGTGGGAACTCCTTCAAGACTGTTGGAAAAGCATTCCAGGTGAAGCTGGTTGAGAGAATGCCAAGAGTGTGCAAAGCTGTCATCAAGGCAAAGGTGGCTATTTGAAGAATCTCAAATATAAAATACATTTCGATTTGTTTAACACTTTTTGGGTTACTACATGATTCCATATGTGTTATTTCATAGTTTTGATGTCTTCACTATTATTCTACAATGTATAAAATAATAAAATAAAGAAAAACCCTTGAATGAGTAGGTGTTCTAAAACTTTTGACCAGTAGTGTAGGTACCTATCCTCAGTGCCTCCTTGTGTGTAATGTTAGCCCAATCCCCCATTGATAAGGCCAAGTAATGAAGTCTACTAATGATTGTGTATCCTCTGGCTCTTGGGGCTGTCTCCCCTCAGTGGTTCCCTTCTAGTCCAAAGGTGTGGCTGGCTGGACCTCACAGTGTGAACTCAAACACCACTGTTCTTATCTAGCTCTCTGTTATTTCTAGCCACTGTCCGTTTACAGCCCCAGACTAGGCTTCTCTCACTCTGTGTCAGCCTGCCCTTATAGGGGCAACTCATAAGGCTTTTTGAGAGGAGTTGGAGATCTGTACAGTGCAGAAATGTACAACCAGTGTGTGTGTTTGTGTGTTTGTTTGTGTGTGTGTGCTTGCGTGTGTGTGTGTTTCGGGGTGTGTACGGTATGTTTGTTTGTGTGTGTTTGAGTGTTTGTCTGTGGCGGCCCATAGGGAAGGGGTGTTGCTGAGGGGAATTCCCCCATGTTGGCACTCACTGCAATGCCTGTGTGCCAGATTGTGCATCATCTGCACAAGTGCAGCGATACTAGCTACAGTAACTTAAACTCGTTCCCCGCGGCCGCTGCCACATTCTGCCCCCTGTGTGCCACGGTCCATTAGCGGCTGTAACCTAGTCTGATCCTAGATCAGTTTGTACTGTCTTGCCAACTCCTTGTCACTCATTGTCACGCAAGACAGCACAAATAGATCTGGGATCAGGCTAACTGTACCTCTGATAGCTTTTCAAAGAGTCCCCCTAAAAGACCCTATCAGTCTCTGAGGGCGGAATCCCTGCAGCCCAAGACGGCTGTTTCAACTGCTCTTTTATTGTTCCCAACCATCAATATTATTGTGGCCTGTTGGTGTGAGGGAAAGTCCTGGACCGAGAGCTGTCGACTGCTCTAGACCGGCAGGAAGGAGCTGGGAGGGGGGTGAGGGGGTGAGAGGGGGGTCTAAACAGACGAGGGGGGCACCTGAGAGAGCTAGCCGCTCGGCTATTGGGACTCTCTCAGTTCCCTGCATTCTCCTCCTGAACAATGGGGTCGAGGCTGGCTCCCCTCTGACCAGGCCGCTTGGCCCTCGCCCTCGCTGCCGCCGCGCCGCACTGATGTCATGGCGAGCCGGGTATGTTATCTCCCAGGGCCAGTGTCCCTGTGACCCGCGCCCTTCCCAGAAGACTCCCCTGTCACATTTCTAATAACCCCCCCCCCCCCCCCTTCCCGTCCAAATGTCACCACGGTGCTGTAAGGGAAGTTAATAAGTTAAACCTTCAAGGCGTGCCAAAAATAACGCCATCTGTGATTGTTTGGGAGAGCATCTATTGTGTTCGTATGGGAAGTCCCAGAGATCTCAGGGTCTCTCAGATGACCCATTCACTAAACACCTTGGAGTCTGTGGATTGTGTGTGTATTGTGTAGTAGTGTGTGTGTTTGTTTATGGCGTAGCGTATATGCTGTGCATGTAAATGTTTGCATGTGAGTATGTACTGTATACGTGTAGCTCCACAGGTAGTCATGTAACCTTAGTACTGTACATCTCTCCATATTTTTGTCACTCAATGCACTATGAGCATATAACGGTCCTTTTTGAAAAAGCATAGAATGGTACTGGTATAGAGTGGACAGGTGGAGTTTTGGCTACTTTATATACACACACACACACACACACACACGTGTACACACCACACACACACACGTCACAAATACGTCACCATGCACTGCAGCAGTAAGACATCTCTCCACACCTTTTACTGCCTCTTCCTCTGTGGTCCAGCCGTGTTGAGAGCATTCTGGTCCCACTACTGACGTATTGTATGGCCATCTCTGCTTCACGCTCAGCCCCCAATATCCTCCCTAATCTCTAAACTCTGTGTGTGTGTGTTGAGTCAAAGTTTGTTTGCTTTCTGCATCGGTGTGTTTTTGTTTCAGTAAAGTGGATGTGAGTGTGCTATATGGTGTTGGTTGACAAAGTTTTGTGTGTATGTGTGTATTCATGTATGTATATACTGTAATTTCATATGTTTAAATCTGTGTGTGTGTGGATTTTGCAGATCTTCTACAGAGTGACTCGAGAGATCCAACCAGGAGAGGAGCTGCTTCTGTTCATGAAGGCAGAGGAGTATTCATGTAACACCATGGCTCCTGATATGCACGGTCAGTTGACACACACACACACACACACACACACACACAAACAACACACACACATACACACACACATAATAAACAACACACACACAACACACACACAAACCCACACACACACAGACCCCTAAGATATTCCTCCCCTTCCTTCCCCCTGTCCAGAGGAGAGACAGTATCGCTGTGAGGATTGTGACCAGCTCTTTGAGTCTGTCTCTGAGCTGCTGGACCACCAGAAGGTTCCATGTGGGACGCCCACCTCAGCCTTCCTGGGGAACCCTGGAGGGGACAGTAGTGACCTGGAGGGCCCCGAGGACCTGGAGTCCCACGACCTGCACCTGTCCCACAGCCTCAGCCACGACGGCCCCCAGGAGTGTAAGGAGTGTGACCAAGTGTTCCCCGACCTCCAGAGGTGAGAAGGTGTCCTCCTTCCCCCTTGTTGATAGGACTGGGAAAACTCAGGGCCCCTCAGCTCAGGACCCCTCTATGTCACTCAACCTGCACCACCCTCACACGCCTGATGATGGCTGCATATCAACTGCACATCAACTTGAATCTATAGTTGTCTTGATGATAATATTGTAGTGAATGGCGACAGTTGCAATGTCATTTTAACTATTATTGATCCTGGGTAAGGTCTTTGTTTGCACACTTCGTTCATTTTACATCATTGGGTTGTTTTTAGTTGAGAGGCTAGTGAGGCAGAGGGTTGTAATAATGTTCTTGTGTCTGTCTGTCTGTCTGTCTGTGCGTCTCTCCTGCAGTCTGGAAGCTCACTCTCTGTCTCACTCGGAGGAGAGGGAATACAAGTGTGACCAGTGCCCCAAGGCCTTCAACTGGAAATCCAACCTGATTCGTCATCAGATGTCACATGATAGTGGCAAGCACTACGAATGTGAAAACTGCACAAAGGTACAGTCATGTACCTGCTCAAAGGTACAGTTGTGTTTGGGTGGGGTAGGTGGGTGTATGTTACTAGAGCAGGGTTCTCCATCCCTGTTCCTGGAGAGCTACCATCCAGTACGTTTTCACTCTAACCCTAATCTAGTGCACCTGATTCTAATAATTAGCTGATTGATAAGACTGAATCAGGTTAGGTACAACTGGGGTTGGAGCGAAAACCTACAGGAGGGTAGCTCTCCAGGAACAGGGTTGGAGAGCCCTGTATTAGAGTTTATTTTGAGTTTAATTGAACATGTGAACAAGTGTATGTGCATGATTGTGCCTGTAAATGAATGCATCTCCTACATGTACTGTATCCATAGTCGCAGATGGGTAACCCCCCCGTGTGTCCCCTCGTCCGTCTCCCCCCAGCAGGTGTTCACAGACCCCAGTAACCTGCAGAGGCACATCCGCTCGCAGCACGTGGGGGCGCGGGCTCACGCCTGTCCCGATTGCGGGAAGACCTTTGCAACGTCCTCTGGCCTGAAGCAACACAAGCACATCCACAGCAGCGTCAAGCCCTTCATATGTAAGTCACTCAGACCCTTCATATGTAAGTCTGCACGCTTTTTCCACATATTCTACTAGCTTGTTAGAACTCATTTAGAAAAATCGCTAAAACGGCCCTTCTCTTATGTTCTCACCTGTCATAATAACTAGTTGACATATTAGTTACTACATGATAGATTATAACGCAGTCCCATACCTATTTTGACCCTCTAATTGTTTTAAAGGGGAATTTCACTTGAAAACCATTTCTTCATATATTCTTCATTAGTCCACTTTTGATACAGTCCCAGGAAATTGTGCATGTCAACATTCAAGTTTTGAAGATATGTTGCTTCCAGTCTCCTGTAGCCCAAAATCAAGCAAAACATCTCATTAGGATCCATTTAGCATAATCATGAGACTTTTCCAGGAAGTAAACACAGGTCTTCTATTATAATAGCTTTGAGGTTTGTACATACAGTATATGTGCAAAATAATATATTAATGGTACACTGATGAGAAAAATATGAAAAAGTGGTTTTAGGGTCAAATGCCCCTTTATTTTGAAAGTGGCATGTTGATTGTGGTAATATGTACATATCTATAATCTACAAGATTGCAAAAGGAGAACATTAAATGTTTCATTCCACAGGGGAGTGCTATTTAGAAGGAAAATGGCATTTCTGTTATTAGCTGAAGAACAGCAGTACCTGTTCCATGCCCCCATCTCAGCAACCGCACACCTTGCTGACCCAATGACCCCTAACAATGACCTCACACTATGACCTCACGTTTTAACCCTACTGTTGTCCCACACATTGACCTGTTCGACCAGCCGAGACCCCCCTGTTGACCCCAGAGCTCCTATCTTTGACCCCACTCTCTCTCACACTCCCTGTAAATGCCAACCCCTGTGGTCTAACATTAAAACCACACCACAACACATAATGACCAGGCGCCAGTTCTGCTTTTCAGAGAAAACATATTTTTAGAGTTTTCCCTTGTTAGGTCAAGTAGTCAGGAACATTTCCTGGCCCTAATAATGATTTCTCACACTTTCACCTCACACACCAAAGCACAATGACCTTCACCCTTTGACCCCATCTCCGTGACCCCACACACAGGGCAGAGGGGCTGGGTCTGCCTGCGGACCCCCATCTCCCCTCTCCCCCTCCAAACGCACCATTCCACACAAATAGCAACCACATGTCCCCTCCATCGTGCTCCGAATGGGAGTCCATTTGCACTAATCAGCTGAAAATATGCAGGTTTAAAAACAGCTAATGCCTGTGTAAAAAGACAGAACACCCTCTGCCCTGACAGATGTGTTAGAGACCGTGTGTGTCCGTCCTCTGTGTTTGTTTGTCTGTGTGAACAACATGTCTGTCAGCGTACTGTATTGTATACGTGTGTGTCCACGTGTGTGTCAATGTGTGTGTCCGTGTGTGTGTCCGTGTGTGTGTGCCTGTGCATATGTTTGTCTGTGTGTGCGTGTGTGTCTGTCAGCGTACGTGCCTGCGTGTGTCCATGCCTGTGTGTGTGTGTGTGTGTGTGTGTGTGTGCATGCATGTGTGTGTGTGTACCAAGGTAGAAAGCCTGTGCCTGTGGTTGTCTGTAGAGCACTCCGGCCCTGATCATTCATTCAGACACATGGGGCTGTCTTACTCAAAGCTGCTCTTCACAGGAATGTGTTTATAATATTTAGTTACAGTTTATGGAGACCTGACAAAACACACGTGTGGAGTGGATCAGGTCCCTCACACACTGTGTGTCATTTGTGTCTGTTGTAAGTCTGTAAATGTCATGAGTGTGAGATTTACAGCCACTGGTTTCTACTCGTTCTACAACAGAGAGGAAACGGATAACAACACCCATGTTAGCCAACGAGCCTCAGGCTCATAAAATATTTACACCTAGACTCAACATCTCTTGATCAATTATGACATTGACTCCTTCGAAAACATTATCATTCATTCTGAGACCTTTGCCCTAGATTCGAAGAATGTTAATTATTACGGCAAGGTATGCACGTCATTGTCTTACACAAGTTTCCCAATACATTTCCATACCACCATATGAAAAAAATCAAAGAACTTTAGACTACATACTGTATATTGTGATGAGTAAATATTTGAATCAATATAAAGTTATAGATTGCAATATTGTTCAATATCATACATATTATTTAAGAGTATGTTTTGATATTAAATTGTCATCCGCTTTCCATTTTTACGGATGTAGAATAAATAATAGAGAAATAGAGAATTCCAATAGAGAATATGAAACAGAATGACTATTATCCAGATGCTACTGTATAGATATGATCTCTATATGACTGTTTATTTTTATCTAGCTATCATCTAGCCCAGGGGTCTCCAACCTTTTCTAGCATGAGAGCTACTTTTTAAAAAATGAAACATGTGGCGAGCTACTCAGAAGACCTTTTATTTTTGTCTGGAAGAAAACAAAAAAATATATTTTTTAGTGTAATTCCCCTTTAATTGCGCATCTGGCCCTTTAATTGCGCATCTGGCCCTTTAATTGCGCATCTAGCGAGTGTGGAATGATGGTTCTGTACTGCTGCTGCTCATTTCATGGCAAAGTTTGCAAATAACAAATAATAGATACAAATGATATACTTACTCATTATATACTTCTGCCAGGTGAGCCTACTTTGCAGTTAACATTTAATTGAGAAAGTTTTTGGGAAAGTATTTCTGTTAACCCACAACATGGTTATCACATAAACTGGCTACACACAAAGTGATAGACAAAGGTGCGAAACCACACAGACAGACGGGGCAATATTGCTGGAAATTAATTGGCAGACTTTAGCTTTTTAATCCAATAGTGGCTAACCAGGGGTGAGATTTGTTTATGACAGTTTTTGGTGGAAAACATGAAAGATTGCATGTACTTTCAGAATTGTTTGGCGAGCTACTTATATGTGGGTTGTGAGCTGCTGGTAGCTCGCGATCTAACTGCTGGAGAACCCTGTCTAGCCACTATGTTCTGTTCAACAATGTGGTCTGCCACATAGCAGGGTGGTGTCCATGGGGTCAGACAGGGAAGGGACTGTGGGACTGTGGGAAGGTTACAGTGAGCTAGATGACAGGGACAGGGTGAGGGGGACCCGGCCAGGGGGGAGTGGGGGGTGAGGGACGAGGTGGGCAGCGGAGGACGTGAGCCCTGTCCCTGGGAACCGGACCTACAGGATAGGATTCATTCAACTCTGCTTCCTTCACAGGCTCAAAATAGAGCCATTGTGCCGTGTGTCTGCAAGTGAGTCTGTGTGTGTATGTGTGTGTGTCATGTGTTATGTGATATTTTAATATCTGTGAATGTGTCTGCATATATCTGTCTGTGTGTGTGTGTGTGTGTGTGTGTGTTCATGTGTGTGTTTTTGTCTATTGTGAGTTATGTGAATATCTATGAATGTGTATGCATGTCTGTGTGCACACGCATGTGTATGTACGTGTATGTGTGTACCCGTGTGTGTTTGTTTACGGTCTCCTTGGGAGTCTGACCCTGGAGGTGCATTGTGTTTGATGTGCAGGTGATGGATTCCACTGACTCAGTCTCAGCCCGAGGAACAAAGTCCCATGACAATGCCAGGATCTGGCGACTCATCTCATCCCCCCCCTCACCTCACTGAAATAACATTATCAAACTAGGACATCTTACACTCAGCCAGTCTCTCATGTACTGTAGTCCCCCATCCTGAAATGCATGTGTAGTGTCACGACTAAAGCCTGGAGGTTTTCCTTACTACTGGATCTAAGGGAAAACTCTTGGCCCTTGTGGTCAGAGATGTACTCTGTGTATGTATGGTGTGTGTGTGTGTGTGCGTGTGTGTGTGTGTGTGTGTGGTGTTGGACATGTCTCTGAGTGCCCCGTGTCTGTCTCCCTCTCCCTGCAGGCGAGGTGTGCCACAAGTCCTACACGCAGTTCTCCAACCTATGCCGCCACAAGCGCATGCACGCCGACTGCCGTACCCAGATCAAGTGTAAGGACTGTGGACAGATGTTCAGCACCACCTCCTCCCTCAACAAGCACCGGCGCTTCTGTGAGGGCAAGAACCATTTCACGGCAGGGGGGTTGTTTGCCCATGCCCAGGGCATGTCCCTCCCCGGTGTCCCTGGTGCCATGGACAAGGCCGCTATAGGTGGTATGGGGCACAGCAGCGCCAGCCTGGCAGACTACTTTGGGAACCGGCACCACAGCGGCCTGACGTTTCCGACCGCCCCTGGCTTCCCCTTCAGCTTCCCGGGCCTGTTCTCCTCTGGACTGTACCACCGACCCCCCCTCATCCCGGCCACCTCCCCAGTCAGACGGCCCCCAGGTCCCGGTACGGAGCACAGCAAGAGCCCCCTCCTGTCGCCCAGCCCCGGAGCCCAGGATGCCAGAGAGCTGCTCAAGACCCTCCGCAAGGAGGCATCGCCCGGCAATGAGCTGCCACAGGGGACAGAGCAGCGACAGGCCCAGGGCTCCTCCTCCAAGCAGAGGCACGGCGGCGGCAAGATGAGCAGCCAATCGGAGAGCAGCGACCTGGATGACGTGAGCACGCCCAGTGGGAGCGACCTGGATACCACGTCAGGCTCGGATCTGGAGAGCGACATGGAGAGCGAAGGCCAGCGGGAGAGGGCACCCCGGGAGAACGGGAAGGGGCCCGAAGAGGAAGGCGGGCGGAGGCCCCCAGAGCCCCACCACCCTGACCAGTAACCACACTAAGGAGTTCCAAGGCCCCGCCTTGTTCCCTCCCTCGCTGGATGAGCACACGGCTGTCTCAGGGGGCGGTCAATGACTCCATCAAGGCCATCGCCTCCATCGCTGAGAGGTACTTTGGCTCCACGGGGCTGGCGGGCCTGCAGGACAAGAAGGTAGGCGCCCTGCCCTACCCCTCCATGTTCCCCCTGCCCTTCTTCCCAACCTTCTCCCCACCCGTCTACCCCTTCCCAGAGAGAGAGCTCAGACCTCCAGGCCTCAAGGGGGAGCCCCAGTCCCCACCTGACGAACCCACCAAGAAGGGCCAGAGCAGGACCTCTGAGTCGCCCTTTGACCTTACCACCAAGCGCAAGCAGGAGGAGAAGGTCCCCGCCCCCTTCGCCCCCGTCTCCAATTCCAAACCGGAGGCCTCCCCACGTTCCACCAATCAGGACCAGCCGCTGGATCTGAGCATGGGCGGCACCAGGAACCGCGGCAGTAGCCGCGCCCCCCGGAGGGAGGAGTCAAAGAAGATCCACGTATTTGGAGAAGACAAGGCAGGGGTGGAGCTTCCTAAAGCCGACACCTCTCTGCAGCACGCCAGGCCCACCCCCTTCTTCATGGACCCCATCTACAGGTACTGTGAATCTCTAGAACTAAACCTCACCAGTTCAAATATCACTCACTATCAGTCTCATTTAGACCTATTGTGTGTTATTATATTCTGTGTTAGCAATATGTGTCTTTAACTTCCTATATGTAAGCCTCCTGTAGCTCAGTTGGTAGAGCGTGGCGCTTGCAACGCCGGGGTTGTGGGTTCGATTCCCACGGGGGACCAGTATAAAAAATTTATGCACTCACTAACTGTAAGTCGCTCTGGACAAGAGCATCTGCTAAATGACTAAAATGTAAATGTACTTTTTCCTATATTGTTGGATGTAAATGTATTTTAGAGTGTCGGTGTCTAAGAACTGATAGAGTTGTAATATTAGCAGGGTTGAGAAGAGGAAGATGAACGATCCGTTTGAGGCTCTGAAAGACAAGTACATGCGGCCCGCCCCCGGCTTCCTCTTCCATCCACAGGTAGGTCCTGTCCTGTTCTATCTCAGTGTTACTGTAGCTTCACAAAGACAGCCAGACCAGGGGCCCTTTTTGGTTTTGAGGCCCAGGCTCGGTGAGGCGATCTGGGGTTGGTCTGGGGGTGGTCCGAAGTGGTCTGGTTCTGATGGGGACCAGAGGCAGTGTTCAGTCTGATCGGGTCTGGTCTGTCCTGTTCTCAGCTATCTGAACCAGATGTGTGAGAATGTGGAAGACTGAAAAGGGCACAAAGTGGCACATCCTCACATAGGTGTCTTTGACTAAAATATATAAGATGATACCCTTTAAAAGTCCCTGAATTTTGCCCCCGGACTCTGCGCTGCCTGTGATTTCTCTATCGTGTGTAGCGTGACTCAATGTGTACTGATGTGCTTTGACATTCGTGTGAAAAAGTGAAAACATTTTCTCAGGGCTTGGTGTTTTTTACTGACCGTTTCAGGCCTGGTTTTTACTGGCTGTTTGAGTCGTTCTGATTTATGTCCCCTCTCCACACTCTGTGAACCAGTCTCTAACTCTGTAACGCCACATGGCCGTGGCACGTGGCTTAATGAGGTGTCCTATCAGTAGAAACAGAAACAGCATTTAGGCCATTTTTATTACTTTACGATGTTTAGACACACAAATCAGTCACAGAAACACTCTGGCCACAGGGGCTCTTTATTTATTTATTTGCAGTTGTACATTTTCGGGTTAGGGGTTTGTTACCAAGTCACCTGACCCCCTTGTGACATCATCATCCCCCACCCAATGCCCAATGCCCAATCAAAAGCTGTTAATCCATGGTCTACTTCCTGGTTCTGACTGATCTTTTCCTTCTGTCCCGCCCCTCAGTTTCGTATGCCAGATCAGAGATCCTGGGTAAGTTTCCTCTACACCTATATGTCTCTGTGCTTCATGTAAATGTCTGAAAATTATATTTAGGCCTGGGATTTCTAGCTGGGTTCCACCCTGTACTGCTAACGGCACTGAGGGTTCTATATATATTTGCTTATTTGGAGAGTGAGGCAGGGCTGTTGGAATGGGCACAGAGCGGGTGAGACGAGGGGGGGAAGACAGGGGGGACTGCTCTGCATCAGCGCGAGGGTAACAGTCTCTTAGGGACCCAGGGAGGGAGGGGGAGTTCCTCCCTCCGACATCTGTTTCCAGATAAGATCAACAATTGAGAATGCATCTCGCTAATTAAGGCGCTCTCAGCATCACTGACATCTGAAGATAACCAATCAACAGCTGGCCCCACAGAGACACTACGGCAACAAGCAAGTTCATCTAAAGGGGATTTTGGGGGGATCACATTTAAGTAAATGTGTAGACATTTATCCTCCATGTTCCCACAATTACACTTCTCACAATCTGTATTATATCAAATGAGATCTAGTGAACCTGACTTAAAATCAATAAAATCTCAAAGGCTTTAGAGCCGTTTGTTCTGATTTTGACTTATCTCACCGGTAGTAGACGATACAGATAGTTCTCACAGAGGGAGGAACAAAACTGAACTGAACAGCCAGAGAGGAAGGAGAATGAGTGTGTATCAGAGCGAGGGTTGCCTCAGTAGACAGAAGAACAGCCAGGGTGGGCTAGCTGTTTCAGCCTCAGCCTCTTGCTCTCAAACTAAAATGTCTTATCTTGCACGACGGCTCAATACAGCGGACAGTTTTAGGGCTCCTAATGCGCGGGCGAGTTATGGCCTCTCATTGAGTAAGGAGGGAAACAAACTGAGCTTTAGCCCCCACGCCCGTAAAGAGCCCCAATGAAATACATATTGCACATTCACAAGAAATATGGAAGCATTCCACCCCCACCTTCCCCTCCCGTTCCCCTCCTCACGAGGGAGCCTTTGATTCACAGCACGGAGCATTGGCATATTCATAATCAAACGGACCTGACACCCACATCCTCCCGGAGTCGGAACTTTACACCTGGCCGTCACTCTTAATCAGCCCTGGCCTATAAAGTCTGTGGTCGTTCATCATCGATCAGTCTCTCCATCTCTGTTTTCTCTCTGCTCTTTTTCTCAGAGTGGAACACCCAATATTTCTTACTCACTCTCTCTCTCCCTATATATATATACAATATATACTGTATCTCTCTCTCTCTCTCTCTCTCTCTCTCTCTCTCTCTCTCTCTCTCTCTCTCTCTCTCTCTCTCTCTCTCTCTCTCTCTCTCTCTCTCTCTCTCTCTCTCTGTGTGTAAAGTCTCAGAGTAACATGGGGCTGGAACAGTGAGATGGAATGTCAGGTGGTGAGCAGGGCCCGTGGCGCTGCCGGAGGACCAATCACCACTGATTTGTTGCCTTATTGAAATAAGAATAAGGAACACACTAAAAATTCAATACACGCAAAACAATGCAAATTTGTGGCACCTTAAAAAAGAAAGCTGTCCTGTGCGAGATAGGCTGACAGGCCCCGCAGCCTGCTGGGACATCCCCCCCCACCTCCCTCCTTCCTCTTCTCCTCCCCCATCCCTCCATCCCGCCCCTCTCAGCACAGCGATATCATTATTACCCGTGTCTGGCCCTTGATCAGTAATGTCAACATCTTTCATATTGACGAATGTGCTGTCTGCCTGCATTGTGCACCGAATGGTTTACAGCCCAGCAGTGGACATGAATCACACACACACACACACACACACATAGAGAAAGCAAGCACACAGACACACATTCTCACACATTAACACACTCTCTTTCTTTCTCTCACACACACAAACACACACATTCTCTCACAGACATTGTTGGTAGTTAATCAACTATGACCACCATGCAGCACACATACACACACAAACACTAACACACTCATACACACACACAAACACTAACACACACATACACATCATCTGACAAGTACATGTATTTCCACTTTCCTCCAAGGATTTTACGCATATTTGATGAAAGCAAATGTTAGCCTTCATTAGTAAATTGTATACAGTGTGTGTGTGTGTGTGTGTGTGTGTGTGTAAAACAGAGTTGATTACAGTCATATACCACCTGACCTGACTTCCACTGACCACTAGTGGTGGAATAAAGCTGCATAATATTCCCATATACAATACCCTAATACCAGCCCTGGAAAGGACAATCAATAATACTCTGATCTGTGTAAAGTACAGTATTGGTTTCTATCTTCAATATGGCCTAGTTTGAATACAGCCTTGGTTTATGGTGTCTCAATTCAATGCCAGGCAGAGCCTCTCTCTGAAGGACTATACTCATGTTGTCACATCATGCCCCCTTTGCTCTGCTTATATGCACTGCTGTCACTAGTTTCGGGGGCAACTTGGGGAGTCTTTTGGGACATTGGGCTGTATTATTGACTCCCTTGGTTGCACATCATTCTGGTGGGTGGCAACAGAAAATAACCCTAACCTAATGTGTCCGGCTCCACCCAAAAAACTTTTCCCGTCAACAAAGACAGATCTATAATCTCTAGGAACAGTACTTATCAGTTGTATCAAATAATCCTGCCTAGTTAGACAGTGGGCTGCCATTAGACCATGCACTTCACGCAACACTTCCTACCACGTAATCTACCACTGTCTGTACAGCAGGAATGTGGTGCGGTTTGGACAAAAGTTGGATTCAGACCTTCATTTGAAAGTGAAGGACACATTTAACCTTAAAACTGGTAAGTAGTGTTCTAGAGACTATAGATATGCCTTTGTTGATGGGAAACTTATTTTTTTGTTAAGCCGCACACATTAGGTTAGGGAATGATGCGCAACCAAGGGAGTCAATAAACAACCCAATGTCCGGAAAGACTCCAGAAGTTGCCCCTGAAGTTATACTGAAACCTGCCAGATGGTCAATTTAAATAAAGTGGGTTACTAACTGACTTACTTGGTTAAATGAAGGTTCAATAAAGGTTTTCCCTGACCATTCATGTGACATGTGTCCGTCTCTCCTCAGATGTCGGCCATTGAGAACATGGCGGAGAAGCTGGAGACGTTTGGTTCACTTAACCCCGAGTCAGGTGACCTGATGCGCTCCGTCCCCTCCATGTTTGACTTCCGAGCCCCGCCCACTGCCCTCCCCGAGACGCTACTGCGCAAGGGCAAGGAGCGCTACACCTGCAGGTAACTACAGAAACCGTTTACGCGCATCAGGTGATTTTATCCAACTGTATTGAAAAAAATGTATTTTGTCTTCACACTACTTCATCTCTGATTTTGGCCTCGTGACTTTCTGATTGAAAGTCCCATGGTTTTGGTCAATTCCTATTTCTATACTTCTAAATTCATAAATTGAGTTGGATTGAATTTAATTTGATTGAATTGAATTGAATTGGAATAGACCCTAAACCTGAAAAGTTCATATGTCCTTGAGTGTATGGCCTATTTCCATTCCATGTCCTTGAGACAAACTTCTACTTAATTTCCATGGCTGGCCAGTGTAAACCCTTTGAGGTGACTGTGTGTGCTGTGTTACTCAGTGAAGGGCCGTGCTTGGCCCCCTTTCTCTCCCACTGTTTACCCAGGGAGTTGGCCCTGATTAGCAGATTAATATGAGAGGCTTTGGGACCCTGGCGGTGCTTTGATCTAACGCTTTGCTGTGTGTGTGGACACACCCACTCTCTGCACCTCACCATTGCTACGTTAAACTCACTCACACAAATTCCATTAGCTTCAAGCACTGAGTGTGGGAGTGAAATTAATATTCAAATAGCTATTTGTTAGTGGAATTATGCAACCATAAGACGATGCATAAATTATGTTGCACTCAAGGATGTTTTATCAGTTAATTGATAGAGATATAGTAATAGGTATTCTTTTGAATCTATTTAGATTTATAGTGAAAAGGTATTTTTCCTATTGTGAATTGTGTGTTGTCAATGCTGCATGTTCTAAGATATATCATACAGTCCAGTCTAAAGTTTGGACACACCTACGCATTCAAGAGTTTTTCTTTATTTTTACAATGTTCTACATTGTAGAAAAATAGTGAAGACATCAAAACTATGAAATAACACATATGGAATCATGTAGTAACCAAAAAAGTGTTAAACAAATCAAATATATTTTCTATTTGAGATTCTTCAAAGTAGCCACCCTTTGCCTTGATGACAGCTTTGCACGCTCTTGGCATTCTCTCAATCAGCTTCAACTGGAATGCTTTTCCAACAGTCTTGATATAACACTTTTTTTGGTTGCTAGATGATTCCATATGTGTTATTTCATAGTTTTGATGTCTTCACTCTTATTCTACAATATAGAAAATAGTAAACAAAATTAAGAAAACCCTTGAATGAGTAGGTGTGTCCAAACGTTTGACTTGTACTGTATATATTTGAATACATTTCCTGCTGGTAATTTTACTCTAAGATGTATGGTGACATGAGGTGTTCTCTGCCCCACAGATACTGCGGTAAACTATTCCCACGGTCTGCCAACCTGACCCGCCACCTAAGGACACACACAGGAGAGCAACCGTATAGGTAACACTCACACACACACACACACACATCATGTGTAAACATTCCTAGCATTAAAGGAGGGTCAGCCGTGGGATGAGGGATGTGGGAACAGGGAGTGTGATCATGCCGTGCTGACAGGATGACGTCCCTCTAACCCTCCTCCAACGTCAGTTTGTCTCACCCCACGAGCACAGACAATACTGAACGAAGACAGGACAGCTTTTCAACACAGTATAAGTAATCTGTTAATGTCTGTCAGATAGCCTACACACTTTCACATAGACACACAAAGACCCATAAAAAAAACACAAAAGCATACTGGACCCAAGCATGAACACACAACCATAAACACATACACACACTTTCTCAGAGAACGTTATCAGACACACTGATTCCTCCCAGACAGCCATCGTTCATCTATCAGACCCAGTCCGCTGCTACACGGATGTTTTCCCAGAGAATTCCTGTCCACAGTTTGGGCAGCATTCTTGTATGTTTTCCTACGCCGTTAAAAGCTTGGAACAATTATCATTCTACTAAATAATTTGCCTTATGAAAAATGGTGGCCGATGTCTTGGTGACAGGAGGGGGGTTTGAACTTGAAGATGGGGGGAGGGTGTGGCAGGGAGAGGGAAGGGGGAGGGGAGGGGGAGAGGGGGGGTAGTAAAGAAGGAAGTTTGGTGAATAATGGGGGTGATGAGGAGTGCGGGCAGATGTCCGGGGTTAGCAGCTGGAATAATGACTGTGATGTCGGAGGGGGCGACTCGGAGCACACACACACACACACACACACACACAGAGACACACACACACACACACACAGTACACAGTCCAGGAGAGGCCAGTTGACCACAGGGGAGAACCTCAGGCCTCTGCAGCCCGCCTGATAGATTGAGCCTCTACCCACTGGCACATCATTAAAGATCTCTGCTGTTTATTGCAATTTTTGCGAAGATAACAGGGTGCTCCTGAGGGACGGCCAATCGGGTGAGCTAATTCCAGCTAGAAGAAAAGATGTAATCATCTTGTATAATTTTGCATGGAGGAGGGGGGGCTATGCTCGAACAGATGTGGAGGGGTTTCTAACAGATTTGTTGCATGCCTGTTTTGTGAGAGAAGAATGTGATTTGTATTGCGCTGGCGGGAGATAAGAGACAGAGCTGGTTTCACCTTGAACGAGCTCCTCCATCATGTCTGAGAGAGAGAGAGTGGGGGATGGCGGGGGCTGGCCATGAATACGTGTGTGTGTGTGTGTTCCACTGTGAATGTGTACAGTATCATTCAAATAGGGGTGATTGTTAAAACCTCTTAAGGATCTGACCCTTTTTTTCAATTTTCACCTAAAATGACATTCCCAAATCTAACTGTCTGTAGCTCAGGACCTGAAGCAAGAATATGCATATTCTTGATACCATTTGAAAGGAAACACTTTGAAGTTTGTGGAAATGTTAAATTAATTTAGGAGACTATAACACATTAGATCTGGTAAAAGATAACACAAACAAAAAAACATGCATTTTCTATTTTTCTTTTTGTTTCATCATCTTTTAAATGCAGTTTAGGCGCAATTTAGATATTGGCCACTAGATGGCAGCAGTGTGTGTATGCAAAGTTTCAGATTGATCCAGTGAAGCATTGCAATACTAGACTATTTTGTATCAAGTCTGCCCAAATGTGCCGAATTGGTCAATTGATACATTTTAAAGTACATAACTATAGACAACATGCAAAAATGATATGGTAATAGAAAATGTAAGTTTACACACTCCCAGGAATGTCATACATGATGGATCATTAGTTTATACACTAACTTTCACACATCTAGATGGCCGGGCGGGGTGGGTGTGGAGCCAGAGACAGCAGGGGTTCAAACTGTAGAACCAAGTTCCTACATTTGAATATAAAAATTGATTTGATCAAACAAAACTATGCTACATTTTATCTCTGGGACCCTTGGGATGACAAATCAGAATGTAAGTACATTATTTACCTTCAGAGGTGAATGTATCAAACCAGCTGCTGTGATACGTTTTTTGTTGTTGTGCACTCTCCTCAAACAAAAGCATGGTATTTTTTCACTGTAATAGCTACTTTAAATTGGCAGTGCAGTTAGATTAACAATAATTTAAGCTTTCTGCCCATATAAGACATGTCTACAGTGAGGGGAAAAAGTATTTGATCCCCTGCTGATTTTGTACGTTTGCCCACTGACAAAGATATGATCAGTCTATAATTTTAATGGTAGGTTTATTTGAACAGTGAGAGACAGAATAACAACAAAAAAATCCAGAAAAATGCATGTCAAAAATGTTTTGCATTTGATTTGCATTTTAATGAGGGAAATAAGTATTTGACCCCTCTGCAAAACATGACTTAGTACTTGGTGGCAAAACCCTTGTTGGCAATCACAGAGGTCAGACGTTTCTTGTAGTTGGCCACCAGGTTTGCACACATCTCAGGAGGGATTTTGTCCCACACCTCTTTGCAGATCTTCTCCAAGTCATTAAGGTTTCGAGCCTGACGTTTGGCAACTCGAACCTTCAGCTCCCTCCACAGATTTTCTATGGGATTAAGGTCTGGAGACTGGCTAGGCCACTCCAGGACCTTAATGTGCTTCTTCTTGAGCCACTCCTTTGTTTCCTTGGCCGTGTGTTTTGGGTCATTGTCATGCTGGAATACCCAACCACGACCCATTTTCAATGCCCTGGCTGAGGGAAGGAGGTTCTTACCCAAGATTTGACGGTACATGGCCCCGTCCATCGTCCCTTTGATGCGGTGAAGTTGTCCTGTCCCCTTAGCAGAAAAACACCCCCAAAGCATAATGTTTCCACCTCCATGTTTGACAGTGTGGATGGTGTTCTTGGGGTCATAGGCAGCATTCCTCCTCCTCCAAACACGGCGAGTTGAGTTGATGCCAAAGAGCTCGATTTTGGTCTCATCTGACCACAACACTTTCACCCAGTTCTCCACTGAATCATTCAGATGTTCATTGGTAAACTTCAGACGGGCCTGAATATGTGCTTTCTTGAGCAGGGGGACCTTGCGGGCGCTGCAGGATTTCAGTCCTTCACGACATAGTGTGTTACCAATTGTTCTCTTGGTGACTATGGTCCCAGCTGCCTTGAGATCATTGACAAGATCCTCCCGTGTAGTTCTGGGCTGATTCCTCACCATTCTCATGATCATTGCAACTCCACGAGGTGAGATCTTGCATGGAGCCCCAGGCCGAGGGAGATTGACAGTTATTTTGTGTTTCTTCCATTTGCGAATAATAAAACTGTTGTCACCTTCTCACCAAGCTGCTTGGCGATGGTCTTGTAGCCCATTCCAGCCTTGTGTAGGTCTACAATCTTGTCCCTGACATCATTGGAGAGCTCTTTGGTCTTGGCCATGGTGGAGAGTTTGGAATCTGATTGATTGCTTCTGTGGACAGGTGTCTTTTATACAGGTAACAAGATGAGATTAGGAGCACTCCCTTTAAGAGTGTGCTCCTAATCTCAGCTCGTTACCTGTATAAAAGACACCTGGGAGCCAGAAATCTTTCGGATTGAGAGGGGGTCAAATACTTATTTCCCTCATTAAAATGCAAATCAATTTATAACATTTTTGACATGCGTTTTTCTGGATTTTTTTGATGTTATTCGGTCTCTCACTGTTCAAATAAACCTACCATTAAAATGATAGACTGATAATTTCTTTGTCAGTGGGCAAACGTACAAAATCAGCAGGGGATCAAATACTTTTTTCCCTCACTGTATGTCCTGGAAGGTTTGCTGTTACTTACAACAGTCATGCTAATCACATTAGCACACGTTAGCTCAACAGTCCCTTATATGGGACACCGATCCTGTAGAGGTTAAAGGGATACTTCAGAGTCAGATTCATTTATGGATACCATTTGTATGTCTCTGCATCCAGTATGAAGGAGGTTAGAGGTAGTTTGGCAAGTCAAGGCTAACTAGCGTTAGCGCAATGACTAGAAAGTCTATGGTATCTACTAGCATGCTAGCAGTTACCATAGACCTCCAGTAATTGCGCAAACACTAGTTAGCAATTGCAGTAACGCTAGTTAGCAACTTCCTTCAAACTGCACGCAGAGATATATAAATGGTATCCATGAGTTCATATGACTCTGGGGAAGTAGATAATAATAATAATAATAATAATAATAATATGCCATTTAGCAGACACTTTTATCCAAAGCGACTTACAGTCATAGATGAAGGGCTTCATTGCAAAAATCCTGAAGTATCCCTTTAAGACCTATGTCTTTGTTTGTGTGTATGCTTTTACTGTATCTACTCCAGCATGTGTGTAGTGTATTTGTATCGTTCCCCATGAGTCCCACCTGTTTTGACCTCTAGGAGTGACCCCTACCTATCTGCCTCCTCAGGTGTAAGTACTGCGACCGCTCGTTCAGCATCTCCTCCAACCTGCAGCGCCACATCCGCAACATCCACAACAAGGAGAAGCCCTTCAAGTGTCACCTGTGTGACCGCTGCTTCGGCCAGCAGACTAACCTGGACCGCCACCTCAAGAAGCATGAGAACGGTAACCTCTCAGGTGAGAGAGCCTCTCAATCAATCAATCAATCAAATGTATTTATAAATACAAAGTAGTTTGTTACAAAGTGCTTTACAGAAACCTAGGAAATTAACCTGTTTAGTACTAGTGTACGTACATCCTGTAACTTGCAGGTGCAGGGTGTCATGTAGAAATCTTCCTAGCGTGAAATAGTTCCCAATCGTTCTGATTGTGACATCATGTTGTAAAATTTCTCACAGCGTAATAATGTTCCCAGCTCTTTATATGGATGGCTGAGCTCGTGCGGATGTCTCTCTCTCTCACCCTCGCTCACCCTTGATTTAGCTAGCTAGCTGGTGGAGATGGCTTGTTCTCAGAGGTGTGCCGTTTTAGCTTGTTTGTATATCTAAATACAAAAAATAACGTAAGGAAAGAAACACAGATACAGGTTTTAATGCTCCCGCAGTTTTATTGTGAAATGTTTCGACCCTTACGGACTCCTTTGGGTCCAAACGTTGCACAATAAAACTGCAGGAGCATTCAACAGTGTGTGTGTATCTATCTTTCTTGAAATGAACTGGTGACCAACAAAACTGCTGATGATTCAAATTGGATATATTTATATACTGCATGAGCACTCACTCACCCTCAATTGCCTCCGTAAATTCTCCAGCTGTATATAATGTGAAATGTAATTTACTTACGGTTAAATAAGGCATTTGGGGTAGCTAAGAAATTAGATTAAATAAATCTGTCGTCCGTCTCCGCGACAACACAATTGCACTCTGAATGTTCGGCAACTCAGCTGCTTTCGGCGGTACAAATCATCGCTGGTTGAGTTTGATAGGTCGCTCTACGTCGCAGCGACTCACTGAATCACATCAGAAACATGGAGGCAAGCAGGCGACACCTGTCCAGACACCTGTTGTAAAGCTAGTCCAGTTGATCAGATACATTCACTTATTAAAGCAAACATTGGCGTTCTCTGGAAACCTAGAGACTCATACACTTGGTCCCATCACTTAGTAGAGTCAAGATAATATTGGTTCACTTAAATACAGTGGCGGCTCCTGAAAAAATTCTCAGGGGGGGCAATTTTTCTGGTGATTTAGGTGACCTACACACATTGGGCGGCAGGTAGCTTAGTGGTTAAGAGCGTTGTGCCAGTAACCGAAAGGTCGCTGGTTCTAATCCCCGAGCTGACTAGGTGAAAGATCTGTCGATGTGCCCTTGAGCAAGGCACTTAACCCTAATTGCTCATGTAAGTCGCTCTGGATAAGAGCGTCTGCTAAATGACAATAAATAAATAAAATAAAATAAAAAAAGATATGTCCAGCAACAACATGAAGACAGGGGCAGCATATAAGTCAATACTGATATACACATTACTTGCTTCAAAAAGGCCTCATGGTTGAATTGGAAATATGTGCACCTGAGCATAATTCACAACAAGCAAGCAGGAGCTTTTGATAGAGGCTACTGAAAACATTGATGCAAGTTATTGGTAATAAGACATTTTTATAGACTTCCATATTCTGCCCTCTTGTATAGATTTGTGAAAATGAACAGTGATAGACATTTTGCCTGAAAACAGAATTTGAAAATAATTTCTAGAAAAGGTAAACACAGCTATCTGTATGGCTTTGTAAAAATGAACAACCATATTCTGGCCAATTGTATAGATTTGTAAATATGAACAACCATATTCTGGCCAATTGTATAGATTTGTAAAAATGAACATGAACAGATTTTTTTTTATTTTTACTTTAAAAAAAATGAAAAATAACTATTTTAAACAACATCAACTGTGAACTGATTTGGGCGTGTGTGTGTTAAAGAGACAGACAGGGAGGGACAAAGAGAGAGAGAGGCTACATTACTTGTACTGAAACTGTTCTAGCTTGCTGCATGATCAAATTCAGCTGATGCGCATAGCAATGCATGTAATGGGCATTCTTGAAATGCTCACGCACATTTTGCTGCACACCAGCATTCTCTCCCCTCATCACACTGGCTCCATCGTAAGCTTGCGCAATGAGTTTGACTTTCTCGTCGTCGGCAAAAAGACCGTTCAGTCTCTCCAAAAGCACACTGGCGATTGAGACTGAGGTTGATTCCGAGATGGGAAGGAACTCAAAAAAGCGCTCCTGCACTTTGTGGTTGCTATCTATGTACCTCAGCACAAGCACCAGCTGTGTCTGTGTAGAAACGTCCGTGGTCTCGTCAGCTTGGATAGCTACGAAGTTCGCCGACTTCACCTCCTCCACAATATGTTCCCTCATGACCGCTAGCATACACTCCAGTAGCTCGTTTTGAATGGTCTTTGATGTGCCCTTGAAAACTTTAGCATTTTTAAGATGGTCATCAAACACCTAATCTAATTGTGCCACAAAGTTGACAAGTCCAAGAAAAATACCAGGGTTGGTGGAGCCCTCAGTTTCATCTTTGCCTCGCAAAGCTAGCCATCTTGACAGTAGTACGTGAATTGATTGACGCTGCTACCCGCTCTTTTCTTAGTTATGTTCATGGTTACTTATGTTACGTATGACGAAAGCGCGTAAGTGCAAGCCCTCCCGGAACCCATAGAGATTGTATTGAAAGCTCTGATATTTGAAAAAAAAAAGATTTTACATGAGAGTCTATGAGAGACTCCTGGGCGATTTTCAACCTGACTGAAATCGCCCCAAAAGGGGCGGGGCCATTTGAAGCACGACTTTAGCCTGATTGGACATTTAGTGGCAGATCAGACGTCTAGATTAGAACACTGATAACTACTGTTGCCGTGATATAATTGATTAGAAAAAAAATCCCTTCCTTTTCCCGTTTGGCAGTGCGTCGCCCATATCGCCCTAATGAACACACCGCCCCTGCTTAAATATATACTTACTATACTCTCTACCGGATACTATCTTGGGGATTAGTACTGCCAGGTAAAACAGACTACAGGGTTAGGGTCTGCCTTGTCAATTCTGGAAGTAAACTGAAATTCCAATTCCAAATTGGACTGAATTGAAATGGAACAATTGACCTCAACCCTGCAGTAACTTTACTTCCGGGTAATAAGGCCAGTGTAAGTGTGCTATTCCTGCAGGCCTTGGTCTAACACCAACAGGAGATACAGTACATACTGGTACACCAGGCCAGTGTGGGATTGGTTTCTCGTCAAGTATCTGATTCCAAATAGTTTATTGTCATCCAAAGGGAAATCCAATGGGGCTGTCACTGTGGTCTTAATTGTATTATTTTAATATATTAAAACTGACTGATTATAATGTTGTCTTTCTGTAGGCACGGCTGCATCCTCCCCTCGGTCAGAGCTGGACAGCAGCAGCGCCATCCTGGACGACAAAGAGGACTCCTACTTCAACGAAATACGAAACTTTATCGGCAACACAGGCCAGAACCAGCTGTCCCCTGACCATTCTGAGGAAGGGTAAGTCATATGTTTTGTCTGGATGAGCGTGTGAATGTGCATATAATATATGTATGTGTGTGTCAAAAAAAAATGCTTTGACAAACAGTATACACATTCATCATTCATCTTATCCTCTGTAACACACACACACACACACATGCACACATGCACACACACAAACGAGAGGCCTGATTTTCTGCAGCACATATTCAGTGCTTGAGGCTAAACAGGGAGATGATTATAGACAAACATGGGTGGACACGGCCTCTCTGTGCTGGCCTGCTGGGGCATTCTGATGCACTTCAGCCTTTATTCATTTCTGTGTGTGTGTGTGTGTGTGTGTGTGTGTGTGTGTGTGCGTGTTTGTGTGTGTGCGTGTTTGTGTGTGTGCAAGCATGTGTGTATTAATGAACATGTCGTCCAGGGAGGTTCGGAGCAACAAACAATCATCACTGACGACATCTGGGATAATTACCACATTTGGAAACATGCAGGAGCTTTTTACAACTGTTGACTTTCGGCCATGCATGTGCACCGGTATCGGCCTTGCATACAATTATGTCTGATGATTATGCAAATCAATTCTTGGAAAACTATGATCAGCTTGGGGATAGCTGTTGGCTACAAGTCGGGGGGTTTATTTTTATGTGCCTTGTGTTTGATCATGTGCTAGAGATCTTTCAAAGTTTTGATTGTGTAAAAAAGGGGTTGTGGGTGCAGGCGGTGGAGCGTCAGAGAGACGTGGGGAGAGAGGGGGGGAGGGGGGTGAGACAGGGGAAGGCGGGAGGGGGGGGTCTGCAGCCTGTGAGTGACTAGCTCCCACATCTGGAACCAACATGTCCGCCTACAGGAGAAAGTCAGAGAAGGTGGGGTCAAGGGTTCGGCCCGTGTTTCCTTTCAAAGTGCGGCGCTCCTGACTACTTCTGATAGATACTTTATCCCCAGCAAATTACCACGTTTGAAAGCGTAATTAGCGAATCTGTTTTCTTAATCACGGAGGCTCTCGTCTCGGCCGGCGCTGCTGGTCTCGCTATGCGGTGCGCTGCGATGTCGACGACATGGCAACTACCGCCTTGGCAGCCCTGGCCCTCTCCCAGTCCCACCCAGGGGGCGCGTTGCTTTTCAACTCTGTCCAATTCCTGCTATAATCGCCCCACTCTGATAAATGCTAGAGATGGATAGCAGATAGCAGATAGCCTTGTGCTAAAATATGTACCGCAATTATTCTCCCACTCCTTCTCTTCACGACTCATTGCAAACTCAGCTTTCTTCTCCTTCAAATAGATCATTTCCTGGATACTTCAGGGTCCTCTAATCTACGAGGTGATTTTGGCGGGTGTAGAACTAGGGTCCACAGCCAGACTTTGTGTGCTAGCCTCGTCTAGAAAAAGACATAGTTGGGAGCTGACGAGAGACGTCCCAGAGTGTAATTAGTGAATCCGTCTTAATGTGGTTCCAGATGATTTACCAAATGGTGGTTTCCTGAGGCTGCAGAGACAGTTGGCAGATTAAACCCCAGTCAGGTTTTGATAGCTGGGCCTTTTCTCTCCGTGGGGACCAGGGAAATGGACCGCTTGGCAAGGCCCTCATAACTCTCCCACCAAATGGGGCTGTCAGCTAAATATTTTGCCTATTAGATGAATCTGAGATAGAAGGAAAATAAACAACAGGAGAGGCTGAGCAGTGCTGTTAAGTGCTGCAGCGATCAGTGAGACGCTCAAGAGCCTGTGCCCAGAGAGGCCCTCGAGACTCGATGACAAACGGGATTCCGGCTCTGCCTCTCTCTGCCCCAGCTCAGCTGCCATGGCTTGCTCCGCGCTGCTCTGCTCTACCTACTCGCTCTCTCTCTACCCTCTCTCTACTCCCATTGTTCACTCAGGAAGGAGGGACTCTTACAGGGACTGACTGGACAAAATACATTTCATTATAACGTTTTCTGTAAGAATGTGTGTGAGTTAGCCTTGTATCCATAAGTATATGGTGTATGGCAATGATAGAAGGTTAGAATTGGCTTCAGCACAAACAGTATGGATACAACGTGGCTAAGTGTGAGTGTGTATATTGCTGATGTAAAGGTTTTGCAGTACTCTGCTAGTGATGTGCTAGGTTTTACTCATGTATTTCCTGGTCTCCACTCCTAGGTTGAACGGTGGTTCTTTCGAGGAGGAGAAGCCCCTGATTGTCAGCCACGGGTCACTTGACCTGGAGGAGGGGGAGGGGGAGGAGCTTGGCGCCAAGGAGGAGGAAGGGGAGCAGAGAGACTCCGCTGCTGGGAAACCTAGAGACGAAGCTCCCCCCAGCAACCTAGATGATGACATCATACACAACGAAATAGAATTTGATGGACCTAGCGATTTGGAGCTCAACTGCAAGACCTCCCCAAGGAGGTAAGAGTAGTGGGGATATGCCTCCAGCATAAATATCCACTCACACAACCATGGAGACTAAAATATATGGACACATACGTATATGTACCAAGCTGAGACATTGTGACAGTATATTGGCATTCTTTAAACCCCCTGAAGGGATCATTGAATGGAATTGAGTTGATTTGAATTGAATTGAATTGAATTGAGTTGAATTAAATTAAATTAATTTAAGTTGAGATGAGAAGTTGAATTAAATGTTGACAGGGATTCGGTTGTCTCCCTCCTCTCCAGCTATGAGGAGGAGGAGGATCAGAGTAGCTACTCTGCACACGATCACATCCGTCACTTCTCTGACATGCATAAGATGGAGGACAGTGAGTTCAGTGACGGGGACGGCACTGCTTTCGGCTCCCCCAGCCTGCCTGAGGCCGTCAAACAGCCCCTGTACAGGAAATCCAAGTCCCAGGTAAAGTGTGTGTGTTTGATGTGTGTGTGTGTGCGTGTGTGTGTGTGTGAGATATAACATGATAATGTACGAAAAAGTGTGAAAATGTATGTACAGTCGTGGTCAAAAGTTTTGAGAATGACATAAATATTAATTTTCACAAAGTCTGCTGCCTAAGTTTTTATGATGGCAATTTGCATATACTCCAGAATGTTATGAAGAGTGATCAGATGAATTGCAATGAATTGCAAAGTCCCTCTTTGCCATGAAAATTAACTTAATCCCAAAAAAACATTTCCACTGCATTTCAGCCCTGCCACAAAAGGACCAGCTGACATCATGTCAGTGATTTCTCGTTAACACAGGTGAGAGTGTTGACAAGGACAAGGCTGGAGATCACTCTGTCATGCTGATTGAGTTAGAATAACAGACTGGAAGCTTTAAAAGGAGGGTGGTGCTTGAAATCATTGTTCTTCCTCTGTTAACCATGGTTACCTGCAAGGAAACACGTGCCATCATCATTGTTTTGCATAAAAAGGGCTTCACAGGCAAGGATATTGCTGCTAGTAAGATTGCACCTAAATCAACCATTTATCGGATCATCAAGAACTTCAAGGAGAGAGGTTCAATTGTTGTGAAGAAGGCTTCAGGGTGCCCAAGAAAGTCCAGCAAGCCCCATGACCTTCTCCTAAAGTTGATTCAGCTGCGGGATCAGGGCACCACCAGTGCAGAGCTTGCTCAGGAATGGCAGCAGGCAGGTGTGAGTGCATTTGCACGCACAGTGAGGCGAAGACTTTTGGAGGATGGCCTGGTGTCAAGAAGGGCAGCGAGGAAGCCACTTCTCTCCAGGAAAAATATCAGGGACAGACTGATATTCTGCAAAAGGTTCAGGGATTAGACTGCTGAGGACTGGGGTAAAGTCATTTTCTCTGATGAATCCCCTTTCCAATTGTTTGGGGCATCTGGAAAAAAGCTTGTCTGGAGAAGACAAGGTGAGCGCTACCATCAGTCCTGTGTCATGCCAACAGTAAAGCATCCTGAGACCATTCATGTGTGGGGTTGCTTCTCAGCGAAGGGAGTGGGCTCACTCACAATTTTGCCTAAGAACACAGCCATGAATAAACAATGGGACCAACACATCCTCCGAGAGCAACCATCCAAGAACAGTTTGGTGACAAACAATGCCTTTTCCAGCATGATGGAGCACCTTGCCATAAGGCAAAAGTGATAACTATGTGGCTCGGGGAACAAAACATCTACATTTTGGGTCCATGGCCAGGAAACTCCCCAGACCTTAATCCCATTGAGAACTTGTGGTCAATCCTCAAGAGGCGGGTGGACAAACAAAAACCCACAAATTCTGACAAACTCCAAGCATTGATTATGCAAGAATGGGCTGCCATCAGTCAGGATGTGGCCCAGAAGTTAATTGACAGCATGCCAGGGCAGATTGCAGAGGTCTTGACAAAGAAGGGTCAACACTGCAAATATTGACTCTTTGCATAAACTGAATGTAATTGTCAATAAAAGCCTTTGACACTTATGGAATGCTTGTAATTATTCTTCAGTATATCATAGTAACATCTGACAAAAATATCTAAAAACACTGAAGCAGCAAACTTTGTGAAGACCAATACTTGTGTCATCTCAAAACTTTTGACCACGATTGTACTCACTACAGTAAGTCACTCTGAATAAGACTAAAATGTAAATGCATGTGTGTGTGTGGTGGGGGGGCAATGCGTATATATGCAACTGTGCGTGTGTGCTCATGCATTTGTGTGAGTGTGTATGTACACTTTAGGTGTGTATTGGAGTCAACCTGTCCTCCCTCTCCCTCTCCCCAGGCGTACGCCATGATGCTGTCTCTGGCTGACAAGGACGCACTCCACCCAGCCAACCACACACCAGCCACCATGTGGCACAGCCTGGTGCGGGCCGCTGCTGAGTCCAGTGCCATCCAGTCCCTCAGCCATGTATGATACCCCGATCCCTAACCCCTGACCCCTAAACCCCCCGACCCCGACCTATCGCACTGGGAGCCCTTGGGGGCCGTCAGCGGGGCCCCTGGCCCTTGGCCCGTCACAGACTGCTGAGCAGAACCACGGCCCATCTGACTGCTGAGCAGAATACCTTACACACGAGCAGGGTCACCGTCCACAGAGAACCACCCAGCCCAGCCCAGCCAAGCCCAGCCCTCCAAGAGATCCAACAAAACATCCCTCCTGAGACCTTAAATTGAGTCATTATGTTTAAAATCGACGACCATGATGATAATAGTGATTATTGATTGTGGTGATGAAAATAAAAATGATAATTAATAATAGCTGTATTTATTCTGTTGAGTTTCTATGTTTTGCACAGCAGCGGCAGCTGGCAGGGAGGGATGATGGAGGTGATGTTGTTAGATGTTACATTGCTAGAGCATGTCATGTGTCCACTCAATGGAACAGTGTCATGTGTCCACTCAATGTCATGTGTCCACTCAGCTGAGAACATTCTTCCTCCGTGTGAAGTCGGTTGAATTTGGAGAACCCATTCGGGACCGCGGTCCAACCACGGTTTGATATGTGTACAGAGTACAGACCCTACCAAGCCCCACATAGCCCAACCTAGACCTATACCTGGCCACACCTAACCACCCCTAGCTCCACCTAGAACCACATAATCCTACCTAGACCTACCATGCCACAATACAGCTACCTAACCCAAACCCCACATTGCCCAACCTAGACCTATACCTGGCCACACCTAGCCTTCCCAGCCCCACAGCTTCAGACATTCTCAGCTGAATTGGAGTATCAGTGAAATATGTTACGAGATATGTTACCCTTTAACCCCTGGATAAAAACAGGTGTTTTCCATCAACATGTACTTATATAAATGCTAGGATACTTGGAAGGGTGGGGCTGAATAACAACTCGGGTCCAAATAAACTTCACCTCTCCAAGAAAGATGGTGCCACAAGCGCATTACGACAAGATTGTTGATGAACGAAGAACAAAAGAAAAGGAAAAATTGAAAACGGAGAACAATCTGACTGGTTTTACAACCCAAGAAAGAGTTTGCATAGCTTTGTGTGTCTGCACAATCACAGAACTGTACACGAGTGTCTGCAAACTGCGGCTCTGAAACTGCACTCCGTGTTACCCTCCTCCACTCTCTGTGAAAGGATCTAAATAGTTTGTTGTTTTAGTGGAAGAAAAGAAGAAACCACAATCTTTTTTTTTTTACTCTGAAAAAGTAGCAAGTGCTGAAGTTTATCGTTGTTAAACAGTAAAAAGGTCATCTCTTCCCCTTCTAGAAACCCCAAACTCATCGTAGTCGGCCAACGATACCACTAATTAGCCTAAATGCTAGTCGTTAGCTATCCCCATCCTCGTGTCTTTCATTTTTTAGACAATCATGTTTTTTTCTGGGGGGGTTTTCTACATTTATGTTGTTGATGTTATTGCTGTTGTATGTTGAGAATTGTATTTATTTCTTGGCAAACTGTAGTTTGTTTACTGAATAGCACTGCTCTTACCCTTAGCGAAGGGGAGATTCCTCGCTGGGGCCTACTCCAGAACTCAATGGGGTTTGTAGATGACGTTTGAGTGCCGGATAGTATTAAACATACCATTCACTCTTTATTCTTCTAATGAAACTGGTTGATGATGAATAGATATTACTTAGGGTTTTTTTGTATGACAATTTATTGATTCAATTGTAAATGGAAAAAACAAACATTATAAAGAAATGAACAAATAAAAAAATGCCAGGTATAATTTCTTCATAATCGCATGATTGGTCTGATTAGATCTGTGTCTGACATTTTCTACGGTTGTCTGCAAGCTTGTGTGACGTTCAGTCAATGTTAATCCCTTGTGCCAATCCTATAATAAATAACAGATTATATTCATTTATCCTCCCATTTTGAGGGACCAGATTGTTTGTTTTTTGTCGTTGTTGTTTTTGTTTATAATCCATTTAAAAAAGTAATCAGCAAGTTGAGGTACTTTGTTTTAATGCTTTCTACAATGTAACTGTAATGCATTTCAATTCAATACTGTGGGAGGAGCAACTAAGAAATAAAGGACTACAATGTGGATTAAGTATGAGCTCTCGCTTTCTCTCTCTCTTTCTCTCTGTCTCCCGCTTTCTCTTCCTCTCTCTGACTTTCTCTCCCTCTCTCTCTCCCTGCCCCCTTCCACTTCCCTGCCTCCCTCCTGTCCAGACAGTGTGTTAAAATAAGAGCTGGGAGTCAGAGAGACACCTGGCCCTTTCTCCTGGCTCTCCCAGGGCCTCAGAGCGCGAGACTGAACTCTGGTCCCCCCTTTCTTCCCAGGCCCTGGCACAGAGACAGAGGGAAAGAGAGATTGAGCCAGACACAGAGGGAGAGAAAGAAAGAGAGATTGAGCCAGACACAGAGGGAGAGAGAGAAAGAAAGAGAGAGAAAGAGAGGCTGAGGGAGAAAGGGATAGAGGAGCTGAATATGGTAGTGCAGGGGAAGCGGAGGCAGGAATGTGTCCTCTTTATTTGGGGCCATGTTGTGGGCCATGATGGATGAGGTGGGGAGATGTGATGACCTGGCTCATCGCTCAAATGCTCAATAAGACTTCCCATCCTGCAGGCGTCCCTGTCAGAACCCCCCTTGCCCCTCCTCATCCCTCCCACACCCCCTCTGTCACGGCTCGCATATCTTGGCGGACATTGTGGCTGGGAAGCCCCACTCCCTTCCATTGTCCAGTCATGAGTGGGTGGTTAGAGTGGGGGGGGGGTTTGGGGGACTGACAGTGGCTGTCCCAAGCCCTGACTCTCCAACACACTTACAGTGGCTCTCACCAAGCCTAATGGATGGGATGTTTTTTTAAGCGGGCCTCGTCGATCAGCCCCGCCGTTCCGTCAGTCCTCCTCCGAGCAGCTCCGCGGGGCGTCCAGCTTTGATGAGGTCATGGCGGGTCAGGCAGCGTTGATGAGGTCAGTGTGGGTCGTCCAGCATTGATGAGGTCAGCCTGTGCGAACGGTGCAGGGTCGTAATGGAGTGGAGGTGATAATAGCCTGGAGTATAGGAGGAGTATAGGCTGTATGGACCAGAGGGGACAGTATGTATGTATGGACCATTACTGACCTGCCTCACCACAGGGTCATGACACACCCTGCACTACACCCTCTGCTGGAGATGATAATAATAACAACTTAAAGACATGCTCTGGAACTTTGGCAACTGGATGTGTCAATGTGTAGTTCATACATGCATAATCTATGAGCAGAATTACTGTCTTACCTCAATTAGCCACAAAATCCCTAGTTTAAAAGCAACTGTTTTCTGGAAGCTGTGCAGCGCCATTTTCCCTACATTTTCCCCAACGTGGGCCAGCCCCCTAGAAATTCGAGTTACAGCCAATGAGCTTCAGCCCCTTGCCATTTGAGTGACAGCTAGCAAGATGCACACCCAGCAGAGAGAGAGAGAGAGAGAGAGAGAGAGAGAGAGAGAGAGAGAGAGAGAGAGAGAGAGAGAGAGAGAGAGAGAGAGAGACAGATGAGAGCAATGACGTGCTGCACATATCTGCACAGATATGAGGTAGTACGACATTTTCGGGGACCCGTTTCGTTTCTTGAGTGATACTTTCAGAACTACTGGCTAAAAAGTATGCAAATCTTATGGAGAGTCTCTTTAAGTGTTTTCAATCTCATGCTCAAAGGCTAAACTAAGATACTTGTCATTGTAAAGAGCACTAGCCAGGCAATTACATCACCAAAGTCGAACCCGTAGACCAAAGAGGGGCCATTCCCTCTTGAAATAACTCCAAAATATGAATTGAAACTAGGGTAGTGTGTGTATGAATGTGATTGAGTGTGTGTGGGCGGGGGGGGGGGGGGGCATGGGTCCTGGTTTGGCAGTGTACCCTGTTGGGCTCCTCAGCATTGCTAATTTGATCATGGTGGATTAGCATGTCAGTGTCACCCATGCCTCGGCTCACACTTAATCCACACGCTGAGACCCGTTATTACCGCCATTAACCCACAGCTCCACATAAAGACCTCTGTGTGTGAGAGTGGGGCTGGCAGGGCCAAAGGGACACTGTGTGTGTGTATGCATGTGTTTACCCAGGCTGGGGGAACACAGAACAGCAGTGTGGATTAGTTAATGCGATCTGGTTTATTTAATTGCAGTGTGTGTCAAAGAGGCGGGGTGTGTGGTGCCCCCGTGGGGTGTGTGTGTGCGTGTCAAGTGTGTGTGTGTGTGTGTGTGTGTGTGTGTGTGTGTGTGTGTGTGTGTGTAGTAGTAGTGGGCTGTGGCGGTCCTCTCCTCAGTAGGGCTGGGAGCCACTCAGCTAATGGGGAAGCTGGCAGAGGCTCAGAATCCATCAGGCCTCATTATGGCATCGCCCCCCTCCCTCCTCTCTCTGCTGCCACTGCCACCCGCCCAGTGGGCCCTTGTGTGGCACACTGTCGCTCGTTCACTGGAACATACATCACGCCCCAGAGAGAGAGAGAGGCGAGGGGCCGTCGCAGCTGGCTCTCATACTGATTAACTTGGCACCCCTGCTGACTCAGATGCCAGGGGAAACATCGTTGAAGAGGAAGGCATGGGTGTGTACAGTACAAGGGGGGTGGAGGGTGAGGGGCGTGGGGGTATGGAAAGGAATGTGCTTGCTTGCTTACAGTTGGCACCAAGCAACAGCCAAAAAGGGGGGAACTCCAACAAATCATCACACTGAGTTTTTGTCTGGTTGTTCAATAGTGGCAACACCCCCAATGTTTCCCTACATCCCTGGGTGCTTGTGTAGTGAAGGGATAAGCCAGCCATCCAGCCTGGTCAGGCTACAGACAGGACAGCCTACCCAGGCATATCCTCTCCTCTCTGGGAGCAGAGAGCTGCTGAGCTCCTTAAGGCTCCTGGTGGTTTCATTACGCTATTTGTTTTTCTCCCCAGGGGCTATTGGTCATTAGTGTTATTGATGGGGGCTTTATTGATGGGGGCTCAGCGTGGGCCAGCTAGAGGGATCAGCTAGAGGAATCAGCTAGGGGAATCAGCTAGGGGAATCAGGAAGGGGAATCAGCTAGAGGAATCAGCTAGGGGAATTAGCTAGAGGAATCAGCTAGGGGAATTAGCTAGAGGCATCAGCTAGGGGAATCAGCTAGGGGAATCAGGTAGGGGAATCAGCTAGAGGAATCAGCTAGGGGAATTAGCTAGAGGAATCAGCTAGGGGAATTAGCTAGAGGAATCAGCTAGGGGAATCAGCTAGGGGAATCAGG